CTACACTTGTACATCTTGGAGATTTTTCCAAAGGTAGGCTTCACAAATCATGAAGCTGCTCAAAAAGATCTGATCGAAATCTAGTTAAAGCTTATCCTCTTGTTAACTTTTTGAATGAACATCTCTTTGATTCATAATTTTCTTTTTTAATTATGTAAGAGAGGGACTATATACTTAAATTCTCACAAGTATTCTGCACATATTCTAAGAGATCCAGCTCTGGGAAATAACTTTTGCAAAATTACACTTCTCAGTATAGCACAAGGGTTTACTTATGCTTTGCATAAAAATTGCGAAGAAGCAGCTCATTAATATGCTAAATGCCCTTTCCTATTTATAGACACTGACCCACATTTCGTTTTCAGTTAACATGTATACAGAACTCTGACATTTACTTGTCCTTCTCTCCTTTCCACCTTTAATACCACTTCAAGCAAAACTGTCAAATTCCTTTTTATTTTGTTGACCATGAACATATAAGGGGAGAACTCTAAGTGTACTTAATTCAAGCTGTTTGAATATGTTTCTTCAGCCTGATCTTAGAGGAAGCAGTAAAAATGATTTCAGGTAGCATTTTTAGTGATGAAAATCTGCAGGCTCAGCAATATTGCTTAAATTATTTGCTTGTCTTGGCTAATGTGATGTTTCATACTATCAAAATGTTGCACTGATTAGTTCTCTGTCCTACATCTAAGTGTACTTAATTCAAGCTGTTTGAATATGTTTCTTCAGCCTGATCTTAGAGGAAGCAGTAAAAATGATTTCAGGTAGCATTTTTAGTGATGAAAATCTGCAGGCTCAGCAATATTGCTTAAATTATTTGCTTGTCTTGGCTAATGTGATGTTTCATACTATCAAAATGTTGCACTGATTAGTTCTCTGTCCTCTATCAGCACTGACTTTTGAGAGTTAATGGCAAATGCTGCAGAAAATTTGACATCTTCCTTGCACTCAGGCAGTAGCAAACATATCTTTATTAGGAGTTAGATGAAAGAGTGCTGTATTTCTTGAAGCTTTTCTCTTTAAATTATTTCTGGTAGAGGTTGGATTTGAGATCTTTCTCTGACTTGCTAAGGGCTATTTATGATTTATTTCAACCTTTAGCTGGCTCTTGGAAAAAAAAAGAACAAAGTTGAAAATAAAGAAGAGGGGCCGCTTAATCCTCAGTGGTATTTCAGCGGCATGGAGTACCCTGAATCTTAGGATAGGTGCATTGTTTAAATTTAAAAATATTTTTATTTTTTCTCTGAAAAATAAAATTAAAATCCTTTATCATTTTTAATTAGAGAACAAGTGCCATCATTTTTTAAAGAGAACAAATTTCAAGCTGTGAGTCTTTTAATGCAGGCTGGTCCTCTGAGACTTTTCTGAATCACAGCAGGGAAATTTTAAACTCAGTCAAATAATTTTCTTAGGCAAAGTAGTGATAGGCCATGGTGAGATATGGGTGTCATTAAAATTTTATAGAGGTCCCTAAGACACCACAGTCACTGTAACATTGACACATTGACTATAATATCTCCAAAGAAGCGTTTGCTGTCTATCATGTCTCTGAAGGGAGCTGTTATAGCCTATCGATGCAATAATATGCATGTTAAAAAGTCTCTAAATATGTATTTACAAGATAGTCAGATCTGTTTTGGTCTATTGGGTCAATAATCCATGCATTAAAAGTCCCTAAATATATATTTACAAGATAGGTCAGTTTTGGTTCGCTGAGCCAACAGCGAGGAGGCCTTTAAAAAAGGACCTAGATAGTTGCATAGTCTGCGTTTTAGCAAGTTTGGAAATGCAGTTCTGTACACTTTCTCTCATTTAAAGAGTGGATTTACTATGGTAGTTTCAGTGGATGTCAGAATCTGTGTTTCATTCTGGCCTATGATATTTTGCTTTTAAAATGTCAGAAGACGGTAAACTGACATAGTATAAACTATATTAAAGCTATGAGCAAGTGATAGAAATGCAGACATTTAGGCAAAGCCCTCTGGGCCAGGGTGTATGTTGTCCTTCCAGGCTGTCTTAGAGCTTCTTCTATCTCCATCCAGGCCCAATTCACCTCTCCGTTTTACCTGACTGCTCTGCTGTAGCCTTTGCCTCCTCTCTGTCAATCTCCTTCCAGCAGCCAGAGGGATCTTGCTAGGACTTCACATTATGGCCTTGCTCTTTCTTCTCCAGCAACTTTGCATTTCATGATAAAAGCCAAAGGCTCCTTAAGATATGCCTCTAATCACTGACTTCTCCTACCACTCGCACCCTTGTGGATGCTGCCAGAGCACACTGGCCTCTGCTGTTCTTGAGCAGACCAGGCATGCTCTTGCTTCAGGTTCTTTGTACTTCCCTTCCCTCTACTTGGAAAGTTCCTCCCTCAGATATCCACATGGCTAGCTCTCTCACTTCCTTTAGGAGTCTTAGGAGAAGAGGCCTTCCCTGGCCACCTTGTATAAGATAGCAACACCCCATCCCAACACCATGAATTTCTTTCTCCATCATCCATGCTTGTTGTTCTCCACTAGCACTTATCATCATCTAATATACTATGTTGTTATTTATTTGTTTATTGTCCATCTCTCTCCCCTAAAAGTTAAGCTCCACTAGGGCAGGGGCTTCATCAATCCCAAAAATTTAGATAAGAACCTGGCACCTGTAAGTGCTCATTAAATATTTGTGGTGCAAATGAATGAAAGCAGATAAAATAGAGTTTTCTCTCTACTTCCCCAACTGCTGACTGATATGTATTCATGTTTAGGTTGAGGAGGAATGAGTATCTCTTTCTGAGATAAAGTCCTCTCTTCAGCCATTAGACCTCAGTTTCCTGTAATATTCTCTAAGTGGCACAAAACTGGTCCTTCATGAAGATGTTCATCCACCACTATCCCAGAGCTACTAGGTTACGATGGGGCTCGTGGAGGAGCTGGGGTCATTTCATCTGGTCATGAAAACACTCGACCAGCCAAATTCTAAGTGCAATAGTGTATCAAGATGGGATCAGCATTTCTAAATCTCCTCCAGTTATATGGCAGAGGTGCACATACCATCCCTCATGACTGCACCAGATTAGAATACAGTTACAGTTATATGGCAGAGGTGCACATACCATCCCTCATGGCTGCATCAGATTAGACTGTATGTCTATAGTCTAATCTGATGCAGCCATGAGGGATGGTATGTGCACCTCTGCCATATAACTGTAACAGACTGCGGAGTACTGAGTAGAATCATTATTCTCTCCTAAACTTGGTAAATTATCCTTGGGTATTCTCCCATGTCTCTACCCCCACCTTGAACCATGCATGATATTCTCAAATGCATCCTCTCTCATGATGGAAGCCTGTCACAGTAACTTCTTTATTTAAATTTCACAGGAACATTCTTTATTTCAGTTACTCAGAAAGGTGCCTTTGGCAAGAGAATCACAGCTGACAGCAAATTAATGACTATGATGCTGTGATTAGTTGAGATTACAGGCTATAGAGGATGTGTCTGAGCATTTACCACTGTCATCATACTAATGCTGTCATCTATCAGTGATTCATATTGGTCAAAAAAGAAGATATGGTTCAGTTACAGTAGTCCTATAGAAATGTAACGAAATCTGTCTGTAATGTAAGATTCAGTGATATGCTAATTAATTGAGAGAATTTTTACTGTTAACCTGCTTATTCTAGTCTCTCCCATGCCCTCCCCCAGCACACAGATTTATTTTAATAAAGCTTTAAGGAACAAGCTAACTGAAAAACTGAAGATAATTCCAGTCCCCAAACCTGAAGTATTCATTAAATGAAAGGAAAACATCATTTAATCTTGAATTATTTGGATAAGTGACTCAATTTTGTAATTTATTTTGCATGAGTAGACAAAACTTAATGGATATTTCAGTGCCTACCAGCACTTGACTGGATTTATAAAATAAACTTTTCTATCAGTTTAACAGACAGGAGAGGATAAAAATTAACATGAACAATACCAACGACAAAACCTTCTACTCAGATACTAGGTATCATTCCACCTCCTTCCAAATTCTGTCTGAAAAGCAATAACGATTTCTATAATCCCCAGCAATGACTTTTGCAGGGAGAAGATTTCAAATAAACGTCTATTTGCTTTAGGTGAGCTTCACTGAATCGGTCTTATTTGATTTCAGATCCTCCTCAGGGAAGAGATTTCAGGATTTCCTGGTTGTAAAATGGAAAAGAACATTTTGCTGAACTTGTATGACATCATCTAAAGCATTAAAAGGGCAGATAATCATGGATTCTCTGCCTGTTTACTAAAGCTTCTTTACCTTCTCAATCTATTTTATTTCCAAATGTCAGAGTAGTCTGAAACCTTTCAAAGATTTACAGACTGCAGAAGCAGGGGAAATATTAGGATAAATCCTTTAACTTTTGCAAAAGCTCTTAAATAATTAATAGGTGGGCTTTTGGAAATGTTATATATCACAGTACAGTTACTCTAATATATACCATGTGAAGGCAAAACATAATTTAACAACGAAGGGCTTGAGGCCCTCTCCCTTTCTAGAAAGTTAGTGAAATGGCTCTTTAGTATACACTTGAGTCACAAATAAAGAGAATATTGAATTTGTGAAGGGGAAGATTATAACTAATATCATAAAATTTAGTTTATTAAAATTAAAATACTACATAGTGAATGAAAATGGTAAGTACCATCTTTGTTTTAAATACAATTTCTTTTCCATATTCTACTTGGAAATTCCCTTACATTGTGGAAAGAAAAACAAATGTAGCTACCATAATATTATTGATAAAAAGCAACAGAAAATGTAAGCAAATTATTTTCAAGCTTAAATTACAAAAATGTTTCTCTAATATACTTAAAATACCAGAGCCAAATAGCTAAAACAAATAATATTTAAAAGATCTTATCCCACATATAGACAAAATATATTTCACAGTAATAAATTAATTTTTCTTTTTTATGCAAAATCTTTCAACCATAACTTCATGAAGAAATGTGAAGTGGTGTGAAAATGATCTTACCTCATATTCAAAGTCCTCTGTTCTGTCTGCATCAGCAGGCAAGCTGGAAAGATACTCATTGTCCTCATAAAATTCATGCTCCATCGGATGAAGAGAATGGCAGCTATGGGGAATGTAGCAATATGATAGGAATAGATCAAAAGGGTTGTTTTCAAAATTAAAACTGATTTTAGAATTTCACTTTAGTTTTCTGTGCTTTGCAATAAGACTTGTACTGATCTAGGCTTTAAATGAACTACAGCTCAGAAGGAGCAATTGCTTGTCTTTCTCCACCTACATGAAGTCCATCAATTCGATTTTCTGAGAGAATTTGAAGATAAGGGCCCATGGTCAGAGCTGCATTTTGTGAAGACTGATGTGAAATCTTTGACAGGCCATGGTGTTTTATTCATATTCTCTGGTCTGTTGCCAGTCTACCGAATGTGACTTGCTGCATGCATGGGTACATGGCTTTTAAGACTGCAGTCTACCCAAAGGGAGGGTGGGGTAAGGTGGGTATTTTGTAACAAAGTACTACCAATGTCAAAATACACAGCTCCAAACTCTTTTTTGAAATCCATTTTTAAAAGCACATATTTTTCAGATAGTAAAACATACTCACATTACCCCCAATTCCTTAAGACCTCCTTCCTCATAACCTACATTTTCCCCTCTTTGCACAAATATTAAAGAACATTCATGGTGATAACTCACTGGAAACTCCTAAGCCACAGGTTTTTATAATCCCTTTAGAAAATTCCAGGGGACAGACAGAACTGATTAAGTAAAGGAAATGAGGGGGCCCCAGGGCATTGTACGTATCTTTTATACATTCTTTCACTTTAGGGAAATGTTTTAAGTAATTGATAGAAGTGCTTTCAAATTACTATATACTATGGTAGATACTATACATTATACTATACAAGGGCTAAGCATAGTTCAACAGCAAAGGGCATGAGATCATCTCTATTTCTAAAAGTCAGTGAAAAAGCATAAGTGCAATCAAGCAAGTTCATTGCAAGTAAGATTTGCCAGTATGGATATTCTTGGAATGGTGCCTTCACACAGTCTGTGTAAATAATTTACCAGCCTCTTACTACTATAGGCTCCTTACAGGGTGAAACAGTGTAGGCTCAAATACTACAAGCAGTACATGCAACACCTTGTTTGCTGTTCTAATAGGTAAACCCTTCTTGCTTAAATCCAGACTGGTTCTGCAAAGCCCATTTGGGCTGGTAAAATGTCAAAGCTTGCTGTTTGGGGCATCTGATGTGTTTCTCTTGTCTTTCAGTCAGTAAGAGGGGAACCCTGCCAGGAGAAACACCTTATTCATTCAATAAACATTTATTGCATGTCTACCAGATGCCAGGCCCTATGTCAAGTACTGGAAATAACATTGGTGCACAAAATCCAATTCTTGTCCTATTAATTGGGTAAAGCAGCAAAGTAGGATTTTAATATAGTGCAATAAGGAAAAAACACAGAAGCTGTGAGAGCGCTTAGTGGGGGTATTCCTATGGTAGCCCTAGGAAGTTTTCTAGAAGAGGTCGCCTCTAAACTAAGATCTAAGGAAGAGCAGCACAGCGTATTGGTCGAAGGAGTTTGCACTTAGGCCAGACCTCTTTGGCTCAGGAGTGCGTCCGACATTTCTTTGCTATGTGATCTTGGCCAAGTTACCCAACATGTGTGACATGGGTATGGTAATAATACAGTGCACCCCTCCGAAGGTTGTTGTGAAGACTAAATGAATTAATAAGTGTAAAACACTTAAAATATTACCTAAAACATGTTAAGTGAGCTAATAAATATTGGTTGTTTTTATTATTCATTCGAGAAAGTATTTATTGGAGGGCTGGCTATTCTGTGTCAGGCTGTACTAATAGATATTATATATTTGTTTGCTTGTGCATTGTTCATCTTTCTCTCTAGAATAGAAGCTCCAGGAAGTAGTGACTTCATTTTCATTCCCAATTTTATGCCCAGCACCTAGTTCCAGTGCCTGACATAAGGAATTATTTAACAAGCAATGGATAAATGAATAGAGCCCAAAGCAAGACAAACTAAGTCCCTACATTCCTGGAACTTGAGGTTTCAAGGAGTGGTTTCCAAAACATGGTAGCACGTTACAATTTTCTAGAGAGATTTTTGAAAAATTCTGATGCCTGGGCCTCACTCTAAAAAATTCTTATTTAATTGGCCTGAGGTGGGACTCAGGCAATTGATATTGCTTTTCCAAGTTCTCAGGTGATTCTAATGTATACATTCGACCCACTGAAATAAACTTAAAAAAGCCACTTAAGGGCAGGAAATTGGCATGATTAGATCTATGTTTTGCAAAGTGGAAAATGGAGTACAGTAGGCAATGAAAATGCCATCTAAACATACTATTGCTCTTATGAATCAAACTCTCAATAAGGTTTGAATATTTGCTTAAAAGTTCATAGAACAAAATGTATGGGCAAAGCATTCTTCTAAGCCTATACAAGTAGAATTACTTGAATAAAATATCTCAAACTCCCTTTTAATTAGGTAAAAATTTGGAAGAAATATTCTTATAACAGTTTATTTCATAGTTCTATACTTCTCTAACAGCCAGGACCTTTTGTTTACAAATACAATATATTGGGTAATTGCTTTCTTTGGACAACTGCACTTCAATTAATTTCCTAGCGTTTCCTTTAAAAAAGAGAAAAGCAACAGAGAGTCAGAGAGAAAGGTGACCTACAGGGGAGAGTATAGTGCCAACATGCCACTTCTGTATCAGTCTTAATAAGGGTTTTGGCAGCTTTTGTGAGAAAAGCTATTTCCCTGACCAGTGCTCATGAGTAGTGTGAGGCTTTTGATGACTGGAAATGAAAAGGTGAACTAATTGGAGCCAGAATTTTTCATTGTATCTCAGTAAGTAAGATTCCTGAGGTGAAACAGCTGTGTGGGTCAGGGACAGCAGCTAGCAGAGATATCTGAAAACTAACTGTAGACAAGTGGAGACAGACTATAGACAACTGTAGACAGCCTGTCTCTGTAATTGTCAACTAGCTAGTGTGACTGATTCTTTCCAACACCGACTTTAAATGATGCATGAAAACAAATAGGGCTTTGAGGGGAAATGACAGAAAAATACCTGTCTGAGAGCAGAAATGGACAGATGTCTGGCACTGGAGGCGTAGGTGGCCTCAGCTTGGCCAGGGCCATGATGTGTTCGAAAGTGATGTCTGTCTGTGTGCTGGCGTTCATGAGCTGCACTTCTGGGGCCGTTCCGTAGAATGGTTTACTGAGAGGCGTTCGCCTTAGCACCTGAACCACAATGGGCTCCTTGGCATTTCGAAAAGCTTCCACTGCCTCTTCATGGGTGGCCTTTGAGAGATCCTTCCCATTGACCTGTGAAGATAAAAGGACACTGCTCATCTCAGAGGAAAGAACAGAGAGGCTGTCATGATAGATTAATAAAAGGTGGAGAGGGGAGGTTTAAATCAGCTCTGATATAAATTTTGCAAAGGAATATTTAATCGGACATGGATATTTATTGAGCTCCTTACCAACATGAGAAAGTGAAGGAGATAAGGAAAACAATTACTTCTAGTATTTTTAGAGAGTACACCAACAGAATGATTAGTAAAGATTTAAAAATTTAAATAATACATTGGCCTCAGAAAATGTTCACTGAAATCTTCAGATAGGTAGAAATGCTAAGTATATCCTTTTTTATGATCTATCAATCTCTTAGTAGAATTTTCAACATTTAATCAAAGTCTTCCTGGTCTGAAATCTATTTTTTTAGAATACTGTTAAATTTCTTTCATATTCATCATCTTCTTATCTAACACCATGTTTTATCCAAGGTAATTTACATTTTATCCTAAATCCTTTCTATTCAAAGTATGGTCTGTGGACCAGCAGTTAAGCATCATCTAAGAGATTATTAGAAATGCAGAAAACCTAGCCCTACCTCGGACCTCCTGAATCAGAACTGGCATTATAACAAGATACCAGATGATTTCTATGATATGCACATAAAAGGAGCACTACTCTAAAACACCTCTGAAGGAGTATACTGTGTCTCTTTGGATCATCATCTATTTTAATTTATATCAACTGATGACTCTCCAAGGTAGCCCTGGACATAATAAAGAAAGAGGTGGCATTTGCCTTTGCTCTCCATCACTGCTTCTCAGCTGGACCAACTACAGGCACTTACTCTAGCCTTTGTGGCATCCCAAACACCTGCACACTTTTCTGAACACCCTCTTGAGGGGCAGCACAGGTTGCTCTCAAATAGTTGTTAATATATTTCCCTAAATAGGTACTGATAACATAGCCTCTTAGTGGGAGTTGTGCTTTAATAAAAGATCATGGAATCTTGAAATAGCTTCACAACTCCCACCCCAAATGAATTAATAATGTTGGCTTTTGCCTACAGGAAAAGATACTTGGAAGCAAAATTCTGTGTTCAAAACCACAGAAATAATACCATTTTTAGACAACTATGACACCCGTCTGTTGGTGAGGCTCAGATAACTGCTATGTACTGGCAAATCCTTAGAGATCCCTGGGAAGAAGCAAAGGGAGTCACTGAGTTGCAATCATAGAGCAATTGCTGACATTCAAATGAGCACATTCTCTCTCCCTGAGTAGACAAAGAACATGTGTGCTCAAAGCAAGTGTGGGGCATTTCAGGGTAAATGATACAATGCCAGGTAGAAATCGTCATGTCACGTAGAGACAGGCTTAATAACCTGGAAGAGTTAATTTACTCAACGGACCCTGAAAGAGTTAATGTGCCTTCACAAAAGTAGCAATTAAGTTTCCTCACCAGCAAAATATGTCCCAGCACAGTTCTTAGATCACTAGTAAGAAATTTTAGTTGGAGATTTGAGTGGGTACCTACCAGTGTGCATATGCTCACTAATCTGTACATTCACACTCTAATTCTTCTCTCCATGGACTAAACTTGAAAATTACCACCAAATTTTCATTGGCACAACCTCAAAATACCTTGATGACTTTGGGCATATGGGAGTATGTAAACATCAGACACAAAAACCCATGGACACAGTCATTCGTTCCAGGAACTTTGGGCTGGGGCCACCACTGTCTTCCCTGAGGACATGTAGTCAGCAGATGATAAGAGAACTTCCAGAATGTTAAAGCACAACCTAAAAGCTAGCCTCTCATTTTAAATGATGTCGTCTTCTATGTTTCATATTGTGGTCAGTATCTATAAATTCCTGGGTTATGGAAATTGCTCCAGTTGTAGATAAGATTGCTCTGTCAGTGATATCTACAAGCTTTGCATTTAGAGTAACCCCTAATGGTGGCAGTATGAAAGAAGACAATGCTCTTTCAAAAGGAATTTCAACCAATATCTGAGGGTAAAGGGAAAATAATTTGTGATCAGGGTTCATTCCAGTCAAAAATTAAATCCCACTAATGCATAAATTGTGTACTATTAAGTAGTGGACAGATAAATGTCATTATTCCATTTCTTCCTCAGGGTAGATGGGTACCTTGCCTACATGTTAATCTAGTTTTGGTATTCCTTTGTTTTAGTGATCTTCAAAGCAAGAATAATTTTTAAAAAGTGAGTTATTACTGATAATGATCATGTTCTTATGAGCTAAGTAAGATTATTTTTGCAAAATCCAGAAAAGAATAAAAATTTTTGTAGAGACATAAAAACTAATGAAGAGTATTTTGGGCTGTGAAATCATCAGTTCTTATTGTAATGGTTAGTATATGCAAATGATATTAGCATTCATACAGCAAGATCAATAACTATTGATTCTAAGACCTGTACATTCATTCATTTACAATCATGGCATTTACATGCAAATTTCATTTTCGGCTTTAAGGACAATCAAATACAATCTTAAAAAAGGACAGTCGGCATAATCTCAAATATCTTACTTTCTCATTGGGGAATGCTTTTTTCTTCCGGTTATCATGCAGCTGACCTCTATTTTCATTAGCTATTTAATATCTCTCAAAGTAAAGAAGCCTATGACCTTTAAAGGCTCTACTGCCTCACGTGATTCCTTGGAAAATGTAAGCACTGATAATACAAAACACTCTTATTTTTCTTTCACTTCACTTGAAGTTCATCAACATACTGTTAGCCTACCAAAAGGTCACCATTTTATAAATTATGCCTTTCACAACAGAAAAAAGAATGGCTTAATTGAGATTTTCTGACAGTGGCTTTACTCAGTTATCATCATTTACAGCTAGGAAGACGAATAACACTGAAAGAATATCTAAAGTTTTAATCCTAAAGAAAAATTTTGTAGTACATTAACAAATAAATTTATAGCAAAACCTCATTTTCTTCAAGTGGTGAGATCCTAAATCAACAGCAAGGGATTTGATATTTTATGGTGCCATATCATTATCATTATTTTTCTTTTTCATCATATTTTCTCCCTCCCTTCTTCCCTTGCTTTCTCCTCCTTCTCCCTCCCCCCACACTTTACTCCCTCTGTCTCAATCTTAAATTTGGTTTTGTATGGGTGATATATAACTTTTATGTGTTTTGGGAAATGAAACTGGTGATGGAGAAACCCTCTATTAAAGGTGTTCCACTTAACATAGACAGTTAAAGGTGTGGATCCAAACTCCGCTAGGTGCCCAGTGAAAGGAAAGAAGCTTTTGTGCTAGAAAAGTGCAGGGAAATTGACTTTCAGGAAAAAAAAAAAAAAAATGAAGAGGGTTGGGAGCGAAATTGGTGAGGAGATGGAAGATAATTTGAAGATTTAAAAAAATATTTATGTGTTATGGAGTTTGAGTTTGAAGTTTCTATGCAAAAGGGTTTCAAAAAAGCTGGGAATTTGATTTCAGCACGGTTTAGAGAAGGAGACTTTTTCTAAAGCGGTTGTTAAATGGAATGGGTGAGACGTTACAGTGTCATAATAAACATGAGAAGTATATGAGATAATTCTCTCCATTACTATAACATCTGGCATTTTGATAACTGTGGCCAAACTGATTTGGTTCTATTGCTACCAAGCAATAAGAATATACCTGAAAAGACTCATGTGATTGACATTTGGTAAGATGCTAGCAGTTCAGAGTGAGATGACTGGATCTGAGATGGTGACTAGGCCATCTGATTTGAGATAAATGAGAAACCAGGCATGTTATGCATAAGTAGGTTATCAGAATTGGCAACAGCAT